TGCCATAGTGGTTGAATAGTTTGGTCAGAAACCAGAATTTAATGGTGATAATAAATTAAAATAATCAGATAAATGGGAATGTATTATTTTTTTTTAAAAAAAGAACTTCATGTTTATACATATTACTGACATCAGTCTATAATTATTTATCTATTAATTATTATTATCACAAGAGTTACCACCTTTGTAAAATGAAGTCACTTGTAGCAGTGTGATTCTCAAACTGTGGTGCATGGAGCACCCCAGGTGGTACGCCAGATGAACCTGGAAATTTGTTGTGTGCACTGCTAAATTGGGATAAGTTTTCATATTTTCTATTTAAATAAAACTAGCTTTTGTGTCAAAAAGGCAGCCTACATACTTAGCTACATCGATATAGCATGTGCTAATGGGTTACTATGTAATTCTATACCATTATATAGGAATGCGTGCTACAAATGTAAGTGACCAATTGTATTTAAAAAAAGTTATCTTCAGCAAATAGGGAGGTAGGAGAACGTGTGTGAATTTGGAACACTGCCAATCTTGTGAGCACAGGAAAGCGTGATAGATAACAGAAAAATATTTAGGGACTGCTCTAGGTTAATTTGAGAAAAATACACAGAGCTTCTCTGTGTTTCACTCCCATGCGCATGAAATAAAAACTTCTTTTAACTTCCAAGATGGACTCTTGAAATGGGAACGGAGAAAAATATAAGCTTGCAGATTGCTAAAGCAGGTAAGCCCCACACTATTGGTGAAGAACTTTGTATTACATAACTTTTATTACATATTAAACCCTGAGGTTTGACTGTGCATTATTCCACTGGCTTACAGTTTTTTAACTCTCTTTAGGAAATAGAGTGCCAGTGTGGAATCAATCTGTGGAAAGTATTCAAGGGTTGACTTTGAGGTGAGATTAGCTAGATGAAAAAAGGAAAAAAATATTATCTTTCCTATGAGGAATTCAGCAACTAAACTGTATGGCTTCTGGCAAGCATCTAATGAACAACCACACCAGGCACATGAACATTTAATATAGGGCTCTCAATAAGAGACACCCGTGGTGTTAATACAAAAATGCATTCACACACAGTTGTCAGAATGGAAAGATCCTTTAGTGGTGAACAGCAGTATCACAACAACAAAAGTACATTTTCACCACTGTGTCACAATTAGTACACTAATCAAGGATAAAACAGCAATAGCACAGGATAAATTAAAAAAAGGCAGCAGACGAAGACAAAGAGTGGAGGAAGGAGACAGACAAGGAGAGAGAGAGAAACAGAGGACAAGAAAAAGAGAGAAAAAATAACATCACCATCA